CTATTGGCACAAATGAATGTACATTTTCTGTTAATGAACAGCAAAAGGTGTAAACTACACCGTATCTTTTCGTAGCTATGACTATATACATGTTGTGAATGGATGAATGTTTTGAAGAAAATGGAAAGCCATTACAATGTTACGACATGTCGTTTCCCATTCGTACAAAAAATCGCTCTATTCAAGGAAACGGCCTTTGGCTGACAATTTCTCTTGTTAAATGCAATCTCTTGAATGATTACGAAACTGTTTGCAGGCATTGCTGTATTGATCGCTACATTCCTCTATTAACTATGATTGCATCAAGTCCATCCTTGACCTGGAGTGTCACCATGGTTTCATAAATGCTCAAGCAACATTAAACATCATTCGCGGAGGCAGGAGAAATCAAGGGAGAGACCTGATAAACCCTTCTCACATGTGATGCTGAGTCCAGGAATCGAACCTGAGTGCACTTACAACAAAACCCTATAAAGGTCTATATTGCCAGTACTTTTGCTTGTTAGTTTGTTAACCATGGGAGAAAAGGAATCTAAGAGATATTTTGTTCAAGGCACAAACATCATACTGTACCAGATTAATGCCACACTTTGCATATGAATTTCTTTAATACTTTAACTTAGGTAATATGTACATCCTGGATATGAAACTGTTCACTAATCCCGTGGGGTGAGCAACACATAAAAATAAGTAACAACTGTCATACAAATCTGTAAAACTCTCCAAATCCTGACCTCATATAGAAAATAAAGGAGAATTGAACCAATCCGATCGTAAAAGGTTGGAATCATTGATGAAGGGGTAGAATGAGATGTCATAGAATGATGTGTAGAAATAACCATGCTTCGCACTAAGAATTCTGTATAGACAAATATAAAGACGAGGCGTATAGTGAGTGGGCTTATCTGAGGTATTGATGAACTTGATTGATCATCTATTACTGTGTCTTCAAAATCTTTATCTTCATCCTAAAGGAAATTAAAGTGAGTAGACTATTGTGCGAGAGGTCGTGGGTTCACTTCCTGCTGGACCAATACTCAGGGCTTTAAAAGTAGGAGAAATTATATGAGTAGGAGGTGCTGTAAATGCTCTAAAAATATTTGCAAATGATGATGATGATGATGATGATAACAAATTTTACCTTTGCTTGAAACTGCTTGATAATCCATATGAGGCAGATGACACTAAAAACCCTGATAGCTGCTAGCATTAGATAAGTTGGTGAGACCAAGCTGCTTAAAATCATTTTCGCTTGACCAAGATGACCTCAGGTAAAAAAATCAAATAAATATCTTTTTTAAAAATTATAACCCATATTGCGAGCAGGATATTGGTAGGTTGCTAAAAGGATGTTGCTGGGCTGCTGCCAGGGTGTTAGTGGGTTGCTGGCTGGGTGCTGGTGGGTTGCTGACAGGGTGTTTTTGGGTTTATGACAGGGTGTTGCTGGGTTGCTGACAGGTTGTTGGTGGGTTGATGACAGGAAGCTGGTGGGTTGCTGACAGGATGTTGGTGGGTTGCTAACGGGGTGTTGGTGGATTGATGACAGGAAGCTAGTGGGTTGCTGGCTGAGTGCTGGTGGGTTGCTGACAGGGTGTTGGTAGGTTGCTGGCTGAGTGTTGGTGGATTGCTGACAGGTTGTTGGTGGGTTTCTGTCAGGGTGTTGCTAAGTTGATGTTGACTTCAAGCAGATACTGATAACGTTACATATTACATTTATGGGTTGGTCAGTTAGCTGATAACTAACAAAAAGGAAAAGAAAAACAGCAAAGTTGCTTCCTTGTTGTCATCATTATCAAGAAGCCTGTAAACAACATCTATATTGACAATTAACATGGAGAGCTAAACCCCCATTACAGGAAAAGGGTAACCCATTTCCCTTTCAATACACATTGATATCATACAGCGCATATACTTACTTAAGCTACAGGATGCCATGGAAGTAAGAGCCCACAGGAATGACTTCCCACCAACAAGAGATCTAAACAAAATATTATTAGGATTTAACATCAAAGGACATTGAACCTTTCATGATCACAAGCACTGCAGAAAATAACTCTAAAATGTAGGCAGGGAGTGCTTAAAATACAAATTTAATAAGAGATGGGGAATATCCCTATAATACTCACTCTGTCCATTGTTTTGGCATATTCAAGGGGTTAGTTGTCATGATCCGTTCCTGCTTCATGGCCCATAGTATACACACCATCATAAGAGAGACTACTGATGCATCTGATATGATTCCTACCATGTAAATGAAATGAGGTTAAGGAATACCAATCATGATGGTAGAGTTGGGTAGTGTTGATAGACGTGGCCACCAAGAAGTCAAATATCATATAGTCAAAGCTACATAAAGGTATAAACATTTGTAGAATGTTTAAGGCAGCCCCTTCTCTTCAGTTATTTTAAAACCAGGACACAAAAGTAATTTTTAAACCCACTAGCAAAACCTCGCTAGTAAGTTTTGTTTTCATTGGCAAAAATTTCAAAGTCAATAGCGATCAGACGCAGTGAATAATAAGCTTTACTTGATGCATGTCCTAAACTTTTCAGTCCTTCAATTTCTGGACTGTGGTCATACTCTCAAAGCTGGGAAAATATTATGTCTAGATGGCTTGGGTCCAATACCTTCTTCTTGGATCAAACAGATGACAAGAACAGACACAGATACAGCAAGAACAGCAAGCAAAATCCTATATGAACATAATAAAGAAGCAATTAACCCATAACTTACAAGCTTGTAAATTTAACAAAGAAAATAAGAGTGAAAACTATTTACCAGTTTTCTAGTGGAATCATGTTTTCATCCATAAACATATTAAAGGTGATCCAAAGCACAAGACTGTAAGACACAAAAGCCACTCCTATTATGATTGACTGAAATGAAAAAATAATTATATTTCTTTTAGTAATACAAGGATAAGTTTCCTAATGAAGTGTGAACTAGGTGTATGTATAGTTGTAACTAGGAATTATTTAGATGTAAGTGGCTAGAGTAAATAAATAGATGGGTAGACGAATGGATGTAGATTTATGGGATGAAATGGAATGGATGTATTGTTGGATGCATGAATGGATGGATAAAAGGATAGATGGATGGATGGATGATAGATGTATGAATAGATGGGTGGATGGATGGATATATTGATGGATATGTAACATTGCATGGCTGGATGGATGGATGAATATGTACATAGATGGATACACTCAATTGAAGAATTGTTGTCGGGTTCAGAAACATAGGACATAGAAGCTAAGACTGAAATGGCACATGCGAAGCCGTGGCATCATCCCACTGTTTTTAATACGCATTTGGCATTCTAAACCGACTGCATGGATGGTGCAAATGAATAAATTATGACATAATTATGTCATTTCCCATGTGCCATTTTGGTCTCAGATTTTATGTTCTATGTTTCTGAACCCGACAACGATTCTTCAATTGAGTGTATATGGAATGGGATGGTTGGATGYATAAAATATGAGATAGATGGATGAATAGATCTCTTCTACCTGAGCTATCAAAGACAATAGAGTCTATGACAATAACAGATGGCAAGAAGTGCAGTGGCCTAAGGCCCATTTCCTGCTCCATGTTATCTTCAATCATAGTTAATATTAACTATGCTTCAATCTAACACTTAGATCAGAACTGATTAGCCCTTGTTTTGATTGGCACATATTTTCACCTACCTTTACAAAGCCTGGATTGTCTTCTATTTGATCCACTAAAGACTGACTGCCATCCATAACCAAAAAGACTACCAGTACTGCCTCTACTATTGAGAATACTGGCTCTGCCAACAGGAGAAGCTTCTCATAAAACCAGACAGCAATGAATGGAGTGACATTAATGGGTAGGAAAAGCAGTAACATGAATAACACAAGCTGGACCATTGGGATGAAAGATTTCTGTAAAGTATTAAATGAAATTTGGTATCATCAGGTATAGATAACTGATAAAATGCATTGATGAATAAATTGGATGAATGGGTGGATTGATGGAAATGATATTTATTAATAAATGAATGATTGGAGAGATAAATGGACAAATGGATGAAACTATGAAAAACAAGTCAACAAAAGAGGAATAAACAAATGATGGATGTTATAGTATAATAAAAAATACAAGTCATCAAACCTTTTGGTGAGTTAAACATTAAAAATAGACTTGGAAAAATTGTTTAAAGAAAAAACGTAAGCCTACTTACAACTTGCTTGGGAATACAAGCCAAAAGAACTGAATGAACGCAGAGAAGCAGTGAAAACCTGACGGCAGCTTCAGTACCACAAAATGAGAAATACAGTGGCAATAAAATCGTTCCAGTAATCCCTAAAATAACGTTGCTTAGGGCATAAAAAGTGCAAAGACCAGAAAACCATAACAACACCGCCATTTTGGATTTCCCGCTGCTGAAAGAGAGAGACTGGGAACATGGACAGGGAGCCCAATATATCAAAATGGCGGACGAAACAAGCAAATCTGATATCGTATGGAAAAACGTTCAAGAAACCGCGACGAAATGCTCAGTTTCTGATTTCTTTGACTCTGTTCAAGTCTGGATAGACAAGCCTCAAGTTGTGAATCGTAGATTGAGTGGTTCTTTGGATGTTAAGCATGCCTTCTTACCAAGTGAAAACGTGGACAAACTTTACAAATTGCTACATCATCAAAGGTCGATCTCTGCTTGGTGTAGGTTGGTTGAAGAATTTGCGATTCCTGCGAGTAGTCATGAAGAGGAACATGAAGGAGGACGAGCTGAAGTTTTATTGAGAAGAGTTTTACCTCGACAAATAGCCAAATATCGAACTTTATTTGAACTAGTCATCAAAGGTAATTAATATAATAATCATGCTTACAGCATATGACTAAGCTTAACTTGAATGAAAGTGTTTGACTGTCAATGACTTTGGTTCAACTGCATGTGCAAACCGTTGGATAAACTTATGTCTTCACCACACTCAATAGACCTGTTGGTATTGAACAAATAAAAGTCTCAAAATTTATTATAAACTGTTTCTAATAGACTCCCCCCCTCCCCCTCCCAACCCCCCTCTCCCTCTCCCTCTCCCTTTCCCTCTCCTGCTCCATCTCCCTCTCCCTTCTTGGCGATTTAAATAACTCAACCAAATTTGGTCATTGTATGCTCATCTATTCAACTTTGTCACATTTTTTTGTCAGATAGAAGCACCAGCAGCATTTCATTCATTCCAATTTTTATGGAGAAATGTGAAGAAAATGATTCCAGTGAAAGTGAATGGGAAATGACAGCCTATAGATTTTTACATCTTCAAGATATCAATAATAAACCAAAGTAAGTCAACTAAATTTGATGAAATTTCCCTACTTCATGTAAATACCATATCATTGAATCAATGGCTTCATAGCAATATATAGCAGCAGCTCCAGTAGTAGCAGCAGCAGCAGCAGTAGCAGTAGCAGTAGCAGTAGCAGTAGCAGTAGTAGTAGTAATAGTAGTAGTAGTAGTAGTCGTCATCGTCGTCGTAGTAGTAAACTTTATATTGTTTCTCCTAAAAAGCCAGTTGTTTAGAACAATTAATAATTTTTGATATAATATTCTAATATTATAATAATATTTGATAATAGTTAAGGTAAGTGTAGAAGTCTCTCTTTAGTAGCAGCAATACTAGTAGTGGCAGTGGTAGTAACACTGGTAGTAATAGTGGCAGAACTTAGTAGAAATAGTAATAATGGTAGCAGAAATGGTAATAATTTCATTTATTTTCATTTACTTTAGGATTTCTTTACAAGTTTCCTGCAGTGTAATAGACAGAAGAGTACAGGATATTAATAGAAGTGATTGTGTTGTTTGCCCATCTATCCAGTGGATGAAAGATCACTTGTTGCCCAAGCTAAAAAAATGGGCAGAGAATCCACAAAAACAGTCCAAAGGCTCACTAAGATTAATTTCCTTGGAACGTTATACATTGCTCTATCAAGAATTGAAAGACAAACATGGACTTGAACTAGTTAAGGTACTAGTATACTACGAGAAATATTTTTCTATATATTGTCACTCAATAGTGAAAGTTAAATCATTATTTTTATTTTCAATTGATATTTGCTTCAGAATTGGCCTGAAAATACAGATCCTCAAAAGTTTGTTTATGAAGACATTGCCATAGCAACATATTTAATAGTAAGTAGAATAGCGTTGAAATTAAAAGGTGGATCTTTGTTCATCTTTATGACAGTGACTTTTACAACAAAAAACATTTAGGGGAGGGGAGGGTAAAATATGAGAAGCATACGAACAGATAACTATAGACTCTAATATTATATCTGGAATGTTGAATTTTCCTTGGATAAAAGAGGAAATCTTGATATGATTGACAAAAATAAGTCTATCATTTTAGATTTTATGGGAAGAAGAAAGAGAAAAGAATAATTTAAAAGAAAAACAGAGTTTTGTTGACTTGGGCTGTGGTAATGGTCTGCTGGTATACATCCTCAGCAAGGAAGGGGTAAGTTCAACATACGTCCCAATGGCCAATCCAAAAAAGGGGGACTTCCAAAATGGGTACATAATGCAAAAAAAAGCTGGCGCAGTCAGCTTCACAAAGGAGGGTTCCAATTAGATTTTATTTGTTGCTATAAAGAACATGATTGGTTTCACAAGATCTTACGAAGGAGATCCACCCCTGGTTCTGCTATGCAAGGAATTGACCCAAAATGCTTGAGCTTTAGTTTTTACACTTCATTTATTATTCCTTCAGTAAACCTATAGAGCATTTTTCTCTGTTATCAATATAGTGAATTTATTTGATTTGATTTCAAGCATCCAGGTTTAGGTATTGATGTAAGGAAGAGAAAAATTTGGGATTTTTACGGTCCAGGAATAAAACTGGAGGTTTGTATTAATGATAAGTTATAAATTCAATATTAGCATATCATTGTCATCATCATTATTACATCATCATCTTCATCACGGTCATATTTTCCATTTTCATTGTCATCAGCATTATCATCTCCATTTTCAAAGTCATCMCCATCATCATCATGGTTATCAATCATCAGCATCATTACCATCATCGTTATTCACCATTATCATCATCAGAATACAGTACCAGTCTTTTCTAACCAGTCTTTTCAATCCAGGTCTTTTTGAACTACCTAATATACACTTTCGATCCACATACATACACATTCCATCCAATACAGTTATGAAATATTTTATAGATGTTTAGTGTTTTCTTTCAGAAATATTACAGAAATATCATAGAAGAAGTGAATTAATCACCACCATCATCATAACAATTGTCAATCTTGACATCATGATCCTGGAATCTATTACTTCATTATCATTTAAACAAATATTTATGCTTTGAACAGGAGCGACCTTTGGATCCAACTGCATCAGGACTCTTTCCTAACGTTGACTGGTTGATAGGCAATCACTCTGATGAACTAACTCCATGGATTCCAGTCATGGCTGCCAGGTAAAGGGCAATATTATAAACTCTAGGATCATGCATTTGAGACTTTTTATACAACTTGATAAGGAGTATGGTGCAGATGTAATCTTATTCAAATCAAACTTGTATGGTTTTCTTCTCATCTTGGAGTGATGGCTTTGACAAAATCATATCATGCTTTAAAAAAAGGTCACAATAGTTTTTCACAGTATGTGTAATAAGGTTCTTTTGACAATGACAGGTCATCATACAGAACCAGATACTTTGTTCTTCCGTGTTGTTTTTATGACTTCAATTGTAAGGTAAGTAAGTTTTAATTTAATTCAAGCTTTACTGAACTTCCTCACTAAGAAGATTCAAAGATGAGTCAAAAAAGTCATTTTTTTGCTTCTCCAGAAGTAAAAACAGATACTGTGTAGTTGTTTGTAGGACAAGATTTTTTTAAAATTCCACGGGAAAACTGCTGCAACGGTGATTGGTTTGCTATTGTCYGAGGGGGAACAATGAACACTGCCCCCGTCACTGAGGTTCCTTTATTCCTCTTAAATCATATACATATTTTTTGAACCCCAGTATGTTCGTCAAAATAATAAGACATCACAGTACCGTGGGTATCTTGATTATGTGCACAAGATTGGTGTCGTTTGTGGCTTTGAAGTAGAAGAGGACATGTTGAGGATTCCATCCACTAAAAGGGTAAGCAGCTGATAATTTCAGGGAATCCAAAGGTAGCGTAGTAGTAGTGCAGTCACCTTTCTTCTCCTCTTGGGTTCAATTCCAGCATCTCATGTGAGTAGAGTTTGTCCTCTGGTCCCTTGCTTTAAGGGTTTTTCTCCAGGTTCTCTAGTTTTCCTCCCTCAGCATAACCTAGTCTCCTAAATTCCAATTTGATCTGTAAGTTAGCCATGCCCTGACTTTGATCAGCCCATAGGTTGTTTTAGGGTATCGATAAACTTGTCTTTGGTATTTATGGGAAGAATGGGTGCATGGCATAGTGAGTGCACTTACCTTTCACGCCTTTCACCTTTGTGACAAATGATCTAAAATGAAATTTGGCCAATTGGCATAGGGGATGGAGTTTGAAGCGTGCATATGCACCAAATCTTTTATCATGCTTATTTTCTTTGATGACAGATTTGCCATATAGGACAGTCTAGAACATATCCTGAAGAAGACCATGAAGAAATGGAGATCAAAATAAAGGCTATGATTCGTGAAAGAGGATGCAACATTGATGAAGGACAACAACCTCAAACAATGGTCAACACAACAAGAATATCAAAACAGGCTAGTGGTGACCATTCTACTGAATATGAGAATGACAATAATACTGATGGTACGAGACATCTTTTAGATCAAAGTGATCGAGCATATGAGAGTAATGGTGCAAGGGAAGACACAGGAAGCCCAGCAGCTAAAAAAATTGCTCTAGAAACTGAAGCCCATCAAATAAAAACTTCAGATTTCAAGCCAAGGGAGCAGACAATTACTGTTCGTAACTGCTCGCATCTCAGCAAATCTTTGAAGGAATTTATAGTTAACAGTGTTGCAGAGGCATTGCTTCAGGAATCTGATAGTGAGGGCCCTAAAGATGATAAAGACAAATTTGAGGGTACAAGTTTGAACAGGTTCACAAGTAAAGGTGTTCTGCTGGATTTATGGAATAGAGGTAGAAGCTTGAAATTACCTGATGTGGCTAAATTGTTTGATAATGAAACATTGAAAAAGATGAAGAATGAATGTGGTGGAATACAGACATTATTAAGAAACCATCGGCATATATTCCAAGGTACTAAAGCTAATTTAATGATCAATGGCATGAAGGGCATAGGTGGAATTTATACTATGAAGGGGGTCACTCCAGACTAACATCTACAAATCATCCATCCCTCCCATCCCCCAAAATGCATACATGTTACAGACTCCCAATAGGAAGGAGGGGCCTCAGGCATCCTACAACCCTCTGGATATGACTCCCATTACATGGCTTAAAATAATGGCCAATAAGTTGCTGGTCATGATGATGGGCCAAATTAGTTTTAGTTAAGCCATACCTCATTTCCGACTCCACATTACTGGTCAAAATGACCAGCAAGGCAAAGATTTGACCAGACTAATTCCAATTCATGAATTGATTACTAAGAAAACAAAATTCTTTACAACTAAAAATAATTGATTCCTGGAGCCAGAGAAAACTGACTCAAAACAACTCATCAAGGAAAATCATTAAGATCAACATTAAATGTTTTTCTTTTTTGTTTTTCTCCAGTGGTGGGTGGCGTTGTACAACTCAGAGACTGGAGAAAAGAAACCCCAGGACCTAAACTAACACCAAATGCAGATGTGGAGTTTTTAAAACGAAGATTTGACGCCCTTGGAAACACATCAATGTGCTGGTTTCACTTTAACCATCCTGATGGTTGCACCTTGTTAACAGAACAATGTCCTTATGCACACAGTGAAGATGAACTTGTAGTCAGACCAACGACACAGTATCTCAATTCCTTATGATCGGCTATCAATATTTGTTTTTATTTCTAACTTATCTTCAAGTTATACTCTTTTGTAGCCAGTGGACCTTTTTAGCTTGGGTTTAATGTTTGCAAATTTTTGGGGTTCAATTGAACACAAAAAATCTAAGCAGTAGATAAAATGAATATTATATTCTTTTTATCTACTGCTTTTTTGTGTGTGGTGATAAAGTTTGCCATGGCTAAAGTAAAATACAGATAAAGAATGAAGATTTGGTCACGTTTTCCATTTTGTAGGAAGAAAAAAATCACCTTAAAACTCTAATATTGACATAAGTTTATTATTAAATAATCCAATAAAAACATCTGCCTTGGGTAATAATTAAAATAATAATTATTAATAATAATTATCTATCAAATAAAATCAGTGCAAATTTTTTTTTCACTATATCTTTTTTTCATTCCATCTGGGATCTTTTAACCACTTGAATATTGATCAACAATTTCAATAATGAATAAAATAATTGCTATAAATAATTAACTTTTACAATAAATTGCATAATTATAGAAGCAAATGTTTGTTAAGTTCCAGAAAAATAGTTCAAGCACATTAAAGTTTTGAACTGACCCTATTTGTTTGAAGGAGTTTGACTATTTTCTCTTTCCAGAAAGAGTACAGTAAAGTGCAAACAATATAACCGTGAAACTTTAGTAATACTAAATAGCACAATTTCATGCACACTCCATTGTTTTCTATTGTTTAATTAGCACTATTTTGTACTATTTAGTAATTAGTGTTTCACAGATTAATTGTTTGCACTCTAGTAAAATAAACAAATCATTTTTAAATCATCAAAATAATGTCATACCACTATTAAAACCCTCACAATGAATACATGAAACCACCAGTCAAAAAATAAAGAAAAATTCAACCAGTCCAAAAAATCATGCCAGCTCAAAAACAAAATCAATCTTGAACTTCAATTACCATACCTTGTGAGAAAGAATAATTGCAAGAACTAGGAAAAGTATTCGTTACTTTTATCATATTAATTTACAGGGCAACACACAAATGTATGACAACGTTTGAGCTTATTTGGTAAAACCAGCAAAAAAAGCCCAAGCATAGAAGTATGTGAATATATCATTGATGGTTATACTTTTGCGCGTTGCCCTATAAAAGTCTATTAATTAGACTATTAATTTATCATCAATGGGAAGAAGATAAGGGAGGAACATCTGAGGAGTATCTACCATAAAGGTGTATCTACCTTTATGGGGAGAAATGGGTGCTTTCTCAAACATATTTTGTAATTAATTCAAAGAAAACCTTGCTGTTTAAACCTGCCAGGGCTTTCACAACAAAACATTCATATATATATATTACCTATTCTACTTGCAAAACAAACCCAAGTCTTTTAATGAACTGTTTATAATAACATCATGCATTTATTTTACTACCACTACTTAAATGTCTTAGGTCTGTGTATTTCTCCACGTTCTCTGGTTTTTCTCCCTTCTGCAAAACATCTTCACATTATCCAGTTATCCACCCTCCACAAAACCTAACATAAGTTAAATTCCAATTTGATCTAGTAAACATGACTTTGATCTGCCCTTTCAGGGTATCGTTAAAAGTCAAAGTGTTGTGTTTTCTTATGAAAATGGTATGATAACTGAAACTAATTGACTGAACAAGAAAATGTGCAAGGGATTCCAGTAGTGGTAGTAAATGATGCTATCATTAAAACATCCTCTTTTGACTTCATCATTTACATTTACATTCAGATCAATTTCATTTCATGGAGCATTTCATATAATCTCATGTATTCATATTCATGCATCTCGTATTCAATTTCATAATTTGTGCAGTCCTATGTATGTGTATGTCCAGTCTCAGCAGTTGTCCAATATAACTCAATGAGGCTGTCTTCAGTCGCAATATTGCCCAATGAGGCCAACAAATCACATGACCCAATTAGTGCACCTTATTAATGTTGCTGTTTAAACATTTCTAATCACTTGCTAGATCAACGACAGCCATAACCTTGCCTTGATTGCTGGCAATCTACCCCCAGTGTCAGATCAGAGGTTACGGTCATCTTGGCTTGGACTGTGCTGATAGGTGATATTCATGCTCTTTACGCAGGAGTTTTTCAGATATTTTGAGGGATAGTGACTAGAAATAACAACATACAACATCATGAAAATCTAGAAGACTCACAATTAGCTATGATATATACAACTTATAGAACATAAGGGTACTTACTACTGGAATGAGTACATCTTCTTGCATATTCTCTAAATGCCTCAGTCTTTCATTGGTTTCAAATAACCTGGTGGTTTAAAGAAAGCCAATTTTAAAATCTTATTGTTTTGATCTATTTTTATCACTAAAAACAATACGGAAAGAGAGCACACGCAGCAAATTGATGATGCAGGGGAGTAGGATAAGGCGAAATTGAAACTGCATCTGGTTTCAAAAAATAGCCCAACCGGGAATTTACATGGCGTGCGTTATTAAGAAGTTTCCCTCTCTTATTTATGCTCTCTTGGTTAATTATAATACATGGCGCGCGTTATTAAGAAGTTTCCCTCTCTTATTTATGCTCTCTTGGTTAATTATAATACATGGCGCGCGTTATTAAGAAGTTTCCCTCTCTTATTTATGCTCTCTTGGTTAATTATAATAGCAATAATAATAATGATGAGGAAGAGGTCAGGAGGTTATTGATATGACAGAATTTAAGTAAAACCCTGGCTAAACAAGGAAACATCTTTACCATTAACATGTGTGACAGAGTCAAAAGACACTATTTTGGACAGTAATTATTTAGTCATAAATCTATATTTTTAATTAGGAATGCCT